ACACACACACACACACACACACACACACACACACGATAATGTAGGGCTGTTTGGGACACAGTTGTCATTCGGTTATAGTCACAGTTTGTTCACACAACTGGACTTGCAGTGTTAAGCTTAGAAGTGTCCTAATTGGTATGATTGATTTTTGTTAAAGCTGTGGTTTTACCTAGGCGCTTCAGATGTACTTAACAAAATGATTGGCAAACATTTTAGGAGTAGTAAGTCTATAAGCCAATTGAACAAACCTTTCTTGACAGACCAACCGCCCTGTCAAGAGAAGAAAGATAACCTTTTAAAAGAAACCATCTGTCATGATAGGTAACAGCCAACGTACCGCTTAAGATACTACCTATCTTTACAGACCAACTGTCATGAGAATCTATGGGTCGTAGTTCATTATTGATGGTATTGCATTAAAGAGTCATTGTGAAGTTGATATAAATGTGTTACATGTTTCTGGTCAATTTATAAATGTATGTGCATTTTGTTCCCATCAATTAAACTTACATTATCTTATCACATGCTTTGTTTATTTGAAATGTTATATATTAATTTATGCTCAGTTTCATTCTGTAACCTTGGGGTGGGGGTGGGGGAATGTATTGTTTTCAATTTAATTTGGATTATTGCTGGTGTTTGCATTTGTTTGTTTTCAATAAAACACTAAGAAATAAGAGTGAAATACACTAATGTGTGTATTTTACAGTGTAACCATCTATTTAAGTTTCATTAGCTGTATGAGAATTGTGATAAGGTAATGAAGATATACCACCAAGCCAGCACTATACAAACATTACAGAAATGGCGCTCAATGTTTAATTTGATAGTACTTAATAATAAACATGCATTTAGGTGGGGGGTTTCTTTATCTGCGAAATTGTATTTAATACATTAAACAAATCAAAAGGAGTATGTAAAATCAAATTTACATGGAAAAATGATTAAATCTTACATATGTCTCAATCAATAAAGAAAAAATCCACATTTATATTTACTTGGGAAAGAAAAAGCGAGATGCTTGCTAAGAGAAGAACATCATCAGTAGATTTTCCTTGAGAAAATTGATTATCCGACAGAAAGTATGAATCATCCGATTACTTATTATATTGAGTAATGTTATTCAACATCACCATTTCTGGTACATTTCCACCTGCACTTACATCATGTATAAACCATTTCAGGTCTACCAGTGGTGACGGTTGCCCAGAGTAGCTACACCATAACAACGGGAGGCACCATCACCCTCGTGTGTACCGTTAGTGCCAACCCGTCCGCTTCCTCTGTCTCCTGGAGACGATTGGTCGGAGGTGTGTCCACAGCCATCAGCGTTAGCGGTACCAAGTACTCTGGTGTTTCTCTCTCCAATCCATCCCTGACCATCAGCAACTCCCAGAACAGTGATGAAGGTTTCTACATCTGTCAGGCGACAAACATCGTAGGGACAGGCGAAAGTACCACCTACCTCACTGTCAGTGGAAGTAAGTCGGTCTCTCCAATATATTTATAAGCCAGTATTTTATTAAGATAAGATTTTACACTTTGAAAAATAAATTATGTCATATTGAACAAATAGATACATTGGTTTTGGAAGGTATCGATGAACCTTATATGACAAAAAAATGTATTAATTTAAATATTATCATTTAATCAGCTCTGTGCAATTAATTATCTGAACTTTGGTAAAAGGCAAGACCTGATCATTCTGCTGATTTCAAAAGTAAAATACAAGGGTTAAAATTGAAGAGACTCTCTTCATAATGATAAGATTAGGCAAGTGTGATATGATTGGTTGTTTTGTAGATATACCTGTTGTTACCATACCCCAAAACGCCTACAGTATTCTCACTGGTGGCTCCATCGTTATCGACTGTACCGTGACCGCTGTCCCAGCACACACATCTGTCACATGGCGCAAAACTTTGACGGATGGCACCACATCAATCCTCCAGATCGATGGAGTCAACTACAGTGGTGGTACGGTAAACAGTCCATCTCTGAGCGTCAACAACGCTGACAGCAGCGACATAGGCTTCTATGTGTGTACAGCGACCAACAGCATCGGAACAGGAACCAGCAGCCAGGCCTATCTCTCCGTCACAGGTGGTGGGTATTTAACAAAGTCACTAAGAATGTTCACTTGACGGCTACTATAGAATTAAGTTTAGCTTTGTGCTGGACTATAATAGTGGGGTTATACCCATGTCTGTAGCATTATGACTTCACTTTTTAACAGATTCTTATCAAAGAATATACAAAGGTCAAGAATGAGAATACATTGTATGAGTTTGTATTTCAGGGTCCTAAGGTCAACGCCAAGGTCACTGTTGCTATTTATAGTTCAACCATTGCTATTTTGTCATCGGATTCCTTGTTTCACCAGTCTACAGACTTCAGACACAAGGGGATGTTCATATCTTACAGACATGTCTTCTAGTTGATGTAGTTACAAATATTTTAGCAGGATCTACTATTATCTATGAGAAACTTTATATACTGTACTTACCTAACTAAAGGTCTAAAACTGGCAAAAATGTACTTATATATATTTGATCAAATATTTAAATTTGATTAAAAGCAAAATGTAAAATTCATTTCTGTAAACTCTTACCTGTATTTCCTATTCAGGATAACTGTTAATTTGTGATATTTCATATTTGTTGCATGATATTTTCTTTCAGGCATATGTGTAAGGTGTGCTTCTTAAAATGATCAGACTGAACAACTGTCAAGTACTGTCAAAATGTTTACTTGTAGGGGACAGCTGAAACATTTAAAAGCATTTATAAAGATTAAATAGAAGGAGTTGCTTGAATCTCAGATTCTATTTTAACCCCATAAAACTGTAAGATTGTAGTTTCTCAACATGCACTTAGCACAGAGGTGTAGAAACATTAACTTTTTGTTTCCATAATTTTTGACTAAACTTTTTACTATTTTGGTAGTTGAATATTGACGTGAATCTGGTATAAAGGTTGAGATCGATGTTGAGTGTTGTTTCTACCCTCAGCCCCACCGACAGCCACTGTAGCCCAGACAGCCTACACCATCATCACTGGAGCATCGGTCACACTGCAATGTTCCGTATTTGGGACCCCAGCTGTTACCGGTGTCACGTGGACAAGAACTTTCACTAACGGAGCGAGCAACACGATCAGCATCAACAGTCAGAAGTATGCTGGCTCCACAGTCAACAATCCTTCACTGACCATCTTCAACACAGACAGCAATGATCAGGGCACCTATGTCTGTACAGCCACGAACACGCTAGGGTCTGGCCAAAGTCAAACTGTGTCACTCTCCGTTACCGGAAGTATGATTTTTTATTGTGATTAGTATACCTTTAATATTATATGTGATTAGTATACCTTTAATATTATTAACAGGTATTCGGAGAATTTAAGGTTTATATTTTAAAAATACTGTTTTGTATCCAAAATATCACATACTCCTTCACTCATCTTGTTAGATTTGGAAAAGAAAAGAAAAAAACATTTTAAGAACAGAGAGTTGCACAAAAGAGTTCATCCTAAATCAGTTTACATAACTATATTATACAATTATGGACTTCCGGTGAGGTCTTTCCCTGATTTACGGACCTGGTCTGAACAATATTCACAGAGGCCGAAGATAGACCGAAACTGAAGTCCACCATTGTTTTATTATATGACATTTTACGATAAGATTAATAATTTTTCATGGCATAAGCACATGGATGGCATGGACCATTTTGGAATCACAGAGTGTAGGACTTCAAATACAAAATAACATACACAAAAATTGAATTTCAGATTCAATGCATGTGATATTTAATATCAAGTAAATATTATTTGAACAATTGACATCATCAATATTAACATAGTTCAGAAGTTGATGAGATAATTCATTTGTATTTGAATTCAGTATTGTGAATGGTAACAGATTTACAGACTGGCTGGGAAATTACCTCGGCCTATTTTTAGCAGCGGTCAGTATCACTTTTCTATTTCTAGGTCGAGGTCTGTAACACTTTTCTATTTATAGAACGAGGTCTGTAACATATTTACAGACTCGTCACGTGACGTCACTCCTCCAATCAGGGCTGGGAATTAGCACCAGTCATATAATAACTTACGTAATATCTGAATTACAGTAACCTTACATGACATTGACCTTCAGATCCACCGACCGTAACAGTGAGTCAGACCCAGTACACGGCTATCACTGGATCGTCCGTGACACTGCAGTGTTCCGTGACGGCTGTCCCAGCAGCTACCAGTGTATACTGGGAGAGAACCTCGAACGGCTTTACTAACCAGCTGACCATCGACCAGGTTCAGTATGGAGGCTCAACCATCAACTCACCATCCCTGGTTATCTACAATGCCAACAGCGCTGACAGTGGAGTGTACATCTGCAAAGCAACAAACAGTATCGGCACCGGCCAGAGTCAGGGAGTCACAGTAACCTTCACTGGGTGTAAGTACAGCC